CGTTGGTTTAGCTGGGGTAGCATTCCATGCTGCTTGTTGGATACACTGGTTGAAATGCTCTACCGCCTCGATGACATCATTTTCCGTTTTTAGTGGTAGAGATATGTTTAACGTTTCTTCAACTTGGTTTTTGTAACATGCCCAGTCGGTCTTTTTACTGCATAATACGCACGGTTTTTCTCTTTCGATAACTTTACTGCTCAATGTGAGTAAAACAGGGGAGTGATCTGATGATAGATCAAGACTAGATTTTACTTTTAAGCATTGTTTATTTATTCCTTTCATAACGTAGAAATCAATGACATCTGGACTTTTTCTTCTATCGGTAGGCCAGTATGTTGGTTCTCCCGTTGACATTGGTTCGAGGTTTAAATGCTCCATGGCTTTGTGAAGTTCTCTGCCTTTTGGAAATATTAGTCGTGAGCCCCATTGTATATGTTTGGCGTTAAAGTCACCTCCCGAGATGAAGCGATTTCCTAATTTTTTGAAATAATGTTCAAACTCATGCTTATTTTGTTTTGTAGCGTGTTTTGGGGAACAATACACTGCAGAGATATTAAGTGGACCGTTCCAGTCTTCTATCGCTACATTTGTGGCTTGTATTTGCTCCGTTTGGTATTCTTCGGTTACGTGGTGTTTGATATTATTTTTAATGATAATTGCCGACCCCCCATGAGCAGTACCGTCGGGATGCATGGTGTGATAAACGGTATATCTGTTGAGGTTAATATAATTCTTCTTAGTGTAGTGAGTTTCAGAGATAAGCATTACATCAATATTCTGGATTTTTAAAAAAGTTTCTAAAGTTTTTGTGTTTGGATAAGCCATTGGCATTCCAGATTGCTAGCTGTAAGCTCAACATTGTGTCATCTTAGAGACTATTGTAGTAAGTAGATTTAGCATAGTACTTATCTGTTCCATGAGTCCTTTCATCATGGATTTCAGTTCTTGAAGATCGCTAGATTGCTGAATTTGTTGCTGTTGATAGTTATTCAACTTGGAGTTTGTTGCGTGATGTTCTTGTATCCTTTGATTGGTTGTTGCCTGTGCATAAGTAAGACCAGGACGAATAGGCTCGGAAGACCTTGGTTGTGCTATCGACCTCGGGGCTTGTGTCTGGTTCTCCGCAGCGTTCTGGTTCGTTACTGTTGTTTTATTTCTCAGAGTCGGATATTGTGCTTTACGCAATTGTTTGTATATTATGCAGCCCTTATAGTTGGCAGAGTGATTCCCTTCGCATAATACGCATTTGACTTGATCTGACCTTTCTTTGCGCAGGCAGTCTGATGTTCTGTGACAGCCTGTACACTTAACACATCTCGGTGGACGGGAGCAAAAGTTTTTCGTGGCCGTATCGTTGACAGTTAGTGCATTGCGGTATTTCGCGGGTATAGTGTGGCGCTTCAAACTTGATTTTCATGTTAAGTAAATATTCAATCGTGTATATGCTTTTATTATTATCTGCTGGTTCCAGCTCTATTGCGAACAAGGATAGGGGCTTTTTGTCATTTTCTGTCGCATATTTACGATATTTCGTATTTTATGTCCATGACTTTCTACTTCCTCCTTTATGCTGTCTATTTTTGTAGAATGATGCATATGACATAACATCACTTTGAAGGGTTTTTCTTGTTTTTTTTTTTTGGTAAGTATGGTATTCTGTATTTTTTTCCTTTAATGATGCAATTATTATGTCATAAGCTTCGATACTCTTCGCTTGGACCTTAACTTGTTCTTGACTTTGGTGGTAGTATAGTAATTATCTTTTTAGCAATTGTGTTGAGCAGATTTATTAGTGGAATAATGTTACCAACACCCGAAATGAGTATAGGTGGGGGTCAGTATTTACTATTTGTCAGTATTTACTATTTCTTGAGATTCCTGGCTTTCCAAGGTTTCAAATCTATTTGTTGTGGTAACTAGTGTACCTAACCAATAGTCAACAATCTTTGTTTGTTTTGAATTACGGCTTATGTCCTTACTATTTTCCGAGCTGGATCTTGGACGTTTTTTATTTCCCGCTATTTGCCATTCGCCTTCAGGTATTGCGTTATTATTATTCGGTAGTGACGTCGTCAATCGACCAGACGTTTGACTCAGCGAATTAAATTCGCTGGAATGCTGCATTGCTACAGTTTTCTTGCTGCTGGCCGTCACGGCCGCGGATTCCTTACACCAAATCAATATGCTATAACTCGTTTTAACTATGTTTTCACTCGGTGTAATTAATATCGCGTGACAAATCGCAGAGTTGATCACGATATTGCTGTTTATTTGTGAGCGCGTTATACTACGTCCGTACTGTACGACGGCTCGAGCGAGACTAAATTGTTATTTAATTGAATTAAATCCACTGATAAATTTGTTAAGGAACACCCAGAAGTTTTATTTTCAAAAGCGGACAAAGGTAATGTGACTGTTGCTCTTAATAAGGTTGATTACATTAATAAGATGGAAAATATGCTTTCAGACAATAACACTTATGAGGTGATTAATAAAGATCCTACGAGAAAAATTATTAGTGATTTACGGAATATTCTTTATAGATGGAAGAATAAGGGGTTTATTGATGACATTACATATAAAAAGCTACTTAGTACTGACGGCAATATTCCAAGGGTTTACGGATTAACAAAAATTCGCAAATTGAATTATCCTCTCAGAATTATAGTTTCATCTATTAATAGTCCGTTATATAATTTATCATTTTATTTACACAAAATTATTAATGATACAATTCTCAAAGCTCCTAGTTACATAAAAAATAGTTTTGACTTAATTGAAAGATTAAAAAATATTAAACTTGATCCT